ACAATTCAAGCAGCATACAGAATTAGGAAAGTAAAAGTAAAGAAATTACCTCAAATTTTTCCATCCAGAAATAAGTATATTTATATTTTCGGGAAAACTTTATTGAGACATCAATGTGTGTGTATGTGTGTGTGTGTTTGTACGTGTGTATGTATGTGTATGTATAAACATATAGAAGGATAGGTAGGTAGGTTGATAGAAATACTTTTTAAAAGTGAGATTATACTATTAGTTGCTTTTTATAAAAGTATTAATATTTTAACTTGAATTTACTTGAAGCAATTGTTAAACTTCAAGTAAATCTTTTTCTTTACCACATGAGATAATATTTTATAAAAGATTGCTTTAAGGATTAAAAAGATGAAAAATATTAAGAAGTTAATATCTTTTTTTAACCCATATTTTATTAGAGACATTATTTGTTGACTTTATTTGAAAGATAAAGATATAAGCACTTTTAATTTTTTTATCTCCTCCCTTATTGTTATATTGTTCACATGTATTCAGTGTTCATCATCAGTCCTTTAGCATGGTTTTTCCATTCCTAAGTTTTTGTTGTTGTTGTTAATTTTAGATTGGCTGGATTTTGTTAACTTTTTTTTTTTTTGACAGAAGGGCCCATGAGTACTATAATTTATTTATGTATTTTAGTCCTTTTATGTTTGAGAATGTCTGGCTTTTTGCCTTTATACTTGAACTACATCTTGGCTGGGTTTATGTTCTTGGGTCACACTTTTTTTTCCTTAGAACTTGGTAGACGTTGTCCTGTTGTCTTCTGGCATTGAATGTTGCTGTGGAGAAGTCTGAGGCCAGCCTGATTTTTTTCCCCTCCTTGTAAGTGACTTGCTTTTTCTGTCTGATTGCCTGAAAATTTCTATTTTTATCCACAAAGTTCAATAGTTTTAATTACGGTGTTTTTTGGTGTTAATTTAGATTAAAATTTCCTGGAATTTGATGTGCTCTTTTTAAAAATCAACTTTATTGAGATATGATTTATATATAATAAAATATGTTTGTTTCAAGTATATAGTAGATTAAGTTTTGACAGCGTATATACCTCTGTAACCATCGCTCCATCACAGACATGATCAAGAACATTTCTGATGTGCTCTTTTGATCTGCAGATTCAATTTTTCATTTCAGGGAAATTCTCTTGTGTTGTATCTTTGAATATAGCTTATTTCCCATTTGTTAGTTTTCAGGGACACCAATTATTCATATGTTGGATCGTCTGCTTCTCATATTTTTAAAATTCCTTTCCTTTATCTTTTTCAGCTGCATTTAATTATTATCTCAAGACTTTCTATGTCAGGAGTTTGATTTGCAGCTGTGTTAGTGAGAATTTTCAGGGTATTTTTGACTCACCCAAATGACTTCTTGAAGCAGGACAGAGTTTGAGCTGAGCAGTGTTGTACCTCTTTGTTCTGCTCTCGAGTCTTCTTTTCTCCCTCTTTGATTGACAGCTTTTGAAGTTTATTGCATTAAGTTTCTTTTATTAATACACAAACATTTCTGCTTTGGACTCCTTTTTAGGGGGATTTGGGACTAGAATTTCTGCTTTGGGCTCTTTTTTGGGGGAATTTTGGACAAGAAATTCTATGAGGAAGGTTCAGTGGCCTTCACATATACATAGAATGCATGTTTTTAGGAACATTACTCCATTAAGAGTGTTGAGTGGTCTTTCCTCAAATAACCTTGGTAGACTTTGGAACTTCTTTCTGACTCTGTGCCATTTTTTTTCTCCTTTTTTTTTTTTTTTTTTTTTTTAAGAGACAGGGTCTTGCTCTGTCACCCAGGCTGGAGTACAATGGCCTGATCATAGCTCACTGCAACCTCAATCTCCTGAGCTCAAGTGATCCTCCTGTCTCAGCCTCCCGAGTAGCTGGGACTACAGGTGCGTGCCAGTGCACCCAACTAATTTTTTTGTTTTTTGTAGAGATGGGGGTCTTGCTGTGTTGCGCAGGCTGGTCTTGAACTCCTGGGCTCAAGTGATCTCTTTCCTCAGCCTCCCAAAGTGCTGGGATTACAGGTGTAAGCCACCATGCCTGACCTTTGTCCGTCATATTAATAACATCCTGGTACCTCATCAGGTACTGGAATAAGTGGGGTAAGGTGTATCAGAATCTTTCATTGGTGGGAAAATCAGAGAATGGATGTAATCAGGAAGATTATTATATATTAATGAAAGTATTTTCCCTTTCCTTCCTAGAAGGTGAGAACATGCTTTAGGAATATAAGTATTTAATTTGTTTCCAACTCTTTATAAACAAACATAAAACTGGCATGTGTTTGTAACTAGAATATGGTGGTAAAGTGTGTGGGAAAATGTAAAATGTGGAACAGATGTGAGTCTTGTCAAAACAGCCATTTCAGAGCTTTTTAATTGACTATTGTGAACAAAATGGTAAATCTGAAATTTTACTTGAACTGAAAACTAAAACAAATCAGGGACTTTTAGAAATAGGTTGATTGAAAACAGATATTTATTATGGATAAATGTGTTCAGAAAGGACATTTCTAATGTATATAAAATTTTCAGGTAAAATGAGATTTTAAAGGTAGAGGGATCTTAATTTATCATTTATATAATGTATTTTTGATTTATTAATTAATTCCACAACTATTTATTAAGTACTTACTATAAGCCAGGCATTGATTTAGGTATAGGGGGTGTGCCTTGAATAAAAGAAAGACCTTGTCTTTGTGTAGCTAGATTGTAGTAAAGTAAATTGGTGATAAATAAATGTATAAACATAAAACATGAACTAAAAAGTAGCATATTACTCATTTGAGCTATCTAGAAGAAATGAGCTACCTAAACCTAAGAAATAACTGAAAAAAAAATTAACACATATGCTTTTCACCAGATTCTTTAAATCTGAAATAAAAGGTTTTTTGGAATTATTTTTTGATTTATATCAACACTTCTCCAGGGATAACATTTTGTGACCTTTTTAGCACTTATTACTTGCAGAATTAATTTCACTGTGATATGGAGAAATAGCAACATTACTTTGTTTTAAATTTGCCTATGTATATGTAAATCTTGGACCAGTACTTTAGCTTTTTGGGCTTTGGTTTTTTATTCATAAAATGAGATGGTTGGCCTACTTCTATGATTTTAAAACTGTGCTCATCTGTGCCACTCTTTTTCTCCCTTATAATAGTTCAACTCTGTTATGTTATAAAAATTATATTGGGAGTACATAGATCTTTATAAGATTTTATTTGAAAACAGGTTTTCACTTCATCTTTTTTTTTTTACATTGAGGTTTTGCTTTGTTGCCCAGGCTAGACTCGAACACCTGGGCTCAAGTAATCCTCCCACCCCAGCTTCCTTAATAGTTGGTACTACAGGCACACACCACTGTGCCTGCCCTATTACTTTATCTTTTTTTTAAATTTTAAATTTATTTTATTTCTGTTATAATAATACATTTTTTCAGAGAGTCTTCTGGTGAGGACCAGAAAACCTGCTAGACCAATTCTAAAAGAGCTGTAACTGCTACTTTATCTTTTTGAGATTTTCTTGGCTGCTGGAAAGAAAATAATTTGAAGTTGTTCATGTAGAAAAAGTGAATTTTCTAAAGGAATATGTGCATATCTTCTGGAAATCAAATGAGGCATTTAAAAATATTTCTCTAATATATATATATGTACTACTTAGCAATATATGTAATAGTAAACACATATAAAAATTCAAAAGGATGCTGTGAAAAATAGAAATGCTAACGATTTCTTTTATATCCCAGTAGATTGTCTTATGTATTCCTTGGAATGATTACTCCTAATTTTTGGATATCATTGATTTCCACCCAACTCCCTTGCATTAAAGTTCCTTGATCTCTTCCTTTATCCTACCTCAGTCAACCATTCATATTCTTACATCCTAGAATTTATCATTACTATCATTTTTGACATCTCAATTTTAAACATCTGCTCTCTGATGATTACTTCCTGTTTCTACCAACTCACTTACCCTACTTCCTAATTCAACAGTTTTCAGAGTGCATTGAGACTTGTCCTTTACCAGCCTTCTCTTATCTCCTTTCTCTCAAGCTGTTATGATTTCCTTGCATACATCCTTAACTTTCTTGCCCTGTTTTCTGCTTAACCTGGCAAGGCTGGCCAAAACCATGTTTCTACTTATATCACAGTCATTTTCTTAAGCCTGGGAAGTGCCAGGAACCTAAAACTACTCTCTTGTCAATTCTCATGGCTCATTCATTCTTTGTTCTCTTTAGGCTAGCTTTCCCTAATCCATATCTATGTATATTAGTTATTTCCCTGTGGTTCACAAATTTATTCTTCCTCTTTGTGAGAGACTAACCTAGTTAAATTGAACATCTCTTGGACCTTATTCCATATCCACCAGAGAATTAAATTGACTTAGCTTGGGGAAAATATTTATCCTTGGTCCTGTAAACTATGACCAGAGGAGCAAGGTACCATACTATTAGATAAGTACTGCTGCTGGGGCCCACCCTTCAGAATTTGTGGGTAGTAGAAATGAATGTGGCATTATTTCTTTCAAGAAGTAGTCATGAGTTAGGCAGATACCCTCTACCCCACCCCCAAAAAACTGCTTAGCCAATCAATCTTTAAGGCAGAGAGAAGTCCTTAATCTGGAGTTCATGAGTACCCAAAAGAGAATCTCTGAATACCCTAAAATTATTTGAAATATTTTTGTGAGTTTATATATGTGCCTTTTAATGGAGAGGAGGGCTACAGTTAAAATGTCTTCAAAGGGAGCTCTGACCAAAGGACTCTGCTGTAGGGTTTTTTTTTTTTTTTTCTAGCAATAATAACCTGTGATTCCATGGATTTAGAAATCTTAACAGTCAAAGGTGAAGAAGAAATAGTTTTTGCTATTATATTTTGAATTTAAGATTATTAAAGAAATGAAAATATAATTTTTAATGAAAAGAGTGAGTTCTTTAAGACTTGAGTTTGACAAATGCATGTTGTAAATCAGTATTTTCTCTCTATATATATTTTAGATCAACAGAGGAGAATATTTTTGCCACCTCCACCTGGAATTAGAAAATGTGTCATCTCCACCAATATTTCTGCAACATCTTTGACAATAGATGGAATCAGGTACAACTTTCGAAATTTTTCTTAAAGTCAAGGAGGCCACTTAGCTAATTATTACTGAACATTAACTAAACATTACTGAGTTTTTTTCTTGGTGTCCTCCCCTAATTATGGGATTAGGGGAGCAGCTCTCCTGAATAAATTGACCTCGGTAATTTTTTGTTTCCAGCACAAGCAAAAACCTTAAATAGCATGTTTCAGAATGTTGTCTTCTGTGAATGATAAACTTAGGACTATTCCTAACTTAGTTCTTTTTTTTTTTTTTTTTTTGAGGCAGAGACTCACTCTGTTGCCTGGGCTAGAGTGCTGTGGTTTCAGCCTAGCTCACAGCAACCTCAAATTCTCGGTTCAGGATCCGAGTAGCTGGGACTACAGGCATGCGCCACCATGCCTGGCTAGATTTTTCAATATATATTAGTTGACCAATTAATTTCTTTCTATTTATAGTAGAGACAGGGTCTCACTCTTGTTCAGGCTGGTTTTGAACTCCTGACCTCGAGCAATCCGCCTGCCTTGGCCTCCCAGAGTGCTAGGATTACTGCCGTGAGCCACTGCGCCCGGCCTAGAACCTTATTCTTATTTCTCTCACAACTTTGCCTTCTTCTGACTTTCTCTTTTTTGTCCAAGGTATTGCAATTCTTCTGTCTTGTCATGCATCTAGGGAAAGCCTAATTGCATAAAAGTTTATGAGCTAAAGTATACCAGTTATTTTATAAATGGCAAATATTTGCATATAATTAGAGAATTTTAGCACTGAAAGTAATTTTGTAATTCATTGCTTCTTAGCCTTTTTTGGAGTGTGGGGATCTCAGATTCCTTTTAAAAGGTGATGAAAACCACAGCTTTTTTCCTCTAGAAAAATGCACATATGCCCTCATGTATGTTTTTTTTTTTTTTTAAGACAGAGTCTCACTTTGTTATCCAGGCTAGAGTGAGTGTTGTGGCGTCAGCCTAGCTCACAGCCACCTCAAACTCCTGGGCTCAAGCAATCCTACTGCCTCAGCCTCCCAAATAGCTGGGACTACAAGCATGTGCCACCATGCCCGGCTAATTATATATATATATATTTTAGTTGGCCAATTTCTTTCTATTTACAGTAGGCATGGAGTCTTGCTCTAGCGCAAGCCCCCTCATGTATTTTTTTACATAATCAGACTTCCTTATTTTACAGATAGAGGCTAAGTGATATTCATATGGCTGATCTGCATTTGATAACTGGTGGTTTATTCAATAGACAGAGATATAACAGCATTTGTATTTTTAGAATACATGGAGAAAAGGAAAGGAGCTCTATCTTGGGTTAGTGTCTAATTTTTTTGTTTTGTTTTTTTTGAAAAGGTCTTACCATGTAGCCCAGGCTGAACTTGGACTCCTGGGCTAAAAAGATCTTCCCGCTTCAGCTTCTCAAGTAGCTGAGGCTACAGGCATGTGCCACCATACTCAGCTAGTGCATAACAGTTTAAGAGAAAAACCTATTCATGTAGATCATGATATAAATCCACAATTAGTTTGTTCTTTCTTTTGCCTACAAAATAGAACATTACCTCAATGTGGCAAGTACCTAGAATTTGACTTTGTCTAAAATAGATTCTTTTTTTTTTGAGACAGACTCTCGCTTTTGTTGCCCAGGCTAGAGTGAGTGCCGTGGCATTAGCCTAGCTCACAGCAACCTCAAACTCCTGGGCTCAAACAATCCTGCCTTAGCCTCCCAAGTAGCTGGGACTGCAGGCATGCGCTGCCTCAAAAAGAAACAAAAAAAAAGAACTGAAGTGTAGAATAGTCCTAAGTTTATCATTCAAGAGAAGACACATTCTGAACATGCTATTTAAGGTTTTTGCTTGTGTGGAAACAAAAATTTACGAGGTCAATTTATTCAGGAGAGCTGTCCCTAATACCATAATTAGGGGAGGACACCAAGAAAAAACTCAGTAATGTTTAATGTTCAGTAATAATTAGCTAAGTGGCCTCCTTGACTTTAGAAATTTCGAAAGTGTGTACTGATTCCATCTATTGTCAAAGATGTTGCAGAAATATTGGTGGAGATGAACATTTTCTAATTCCAGGTGGAGGTGGCAAATAGTTCTCCTCTGTTGATCTAAAATATATATACGAGCGAGAAATACTGATTTACAACATGCATTTGTCAAACCAGAGTTTAAAGAACTCACTCTTTTCATTAAAATTATATTTTCATTTCTTTAATAATCTTAAATTCAAATATATACAAAAACTATTTCTTCTTCACCTTTGATGTTAAGATTTCTAATCCATGGAATCACAGGTTATTATTGCTAGAAAAAAAAAAAAAACCTACAGCAGAGTCCTTTGGTCAGAGCTCCTTTGAAGACATTTAACTGTAGCCCTCCTCTCTTAAAAGGCAACATATATAAACTCACAAAATATTTCAAATAATTTTAGGGTATTCAGAGATTCTCTTTTGGGTACTCATGAACTCAGATTAAGGACTTCTCTCTGCCTTTAAAGATTGATTGGCTAAGCAGTTTTTTGGGGTGGGGTAGAGGTATCTGCCTAACTCATGACTACTTCTTGAAAGAAATAATGCACATTCATTTCTACTACCACAATTCGAAGGGTGGCCAGCAGCAGTACTTATCTAATAGTCATGGTACCTTGCTCCTCTGGTCCATAGTTTACAGGACCAAGGATAAATATTTTCCCAAGCTAAGTCAATTTAATTCTCTGGTGGATATGGACATAAGGTCCACGAGAGTGTTCAATTTAACTAGGTTAGTCTCTACAAGAAGGAAGAATAAATTCTGTGAACCACAGGGAAATACATAATATACATAGATATGGATTAGGGAAAGCTAGCCTAAAGAGAACAAAGAATGAATGAGCCATGAGAATTGACAAGAGAGTAGTTTTAGGTTCCTGGCACTTCCGGCTTAAGAAATGACTGTGATATAAGTAGAAACATGGTTTGGCCAGCTTGCCAGGTTAAGCAGAAAAACGCAAGGAGAAGTTAAGGATGTATGCAAGGAAATCATAACAGCTTGAGAGAAAGGAGATAGAAGAAGGCTGGTAAAGGACAAGTCTCAATGCACTCTGAAACTGTTGAATTAGGAAGTAGGGTATGAGTTGAGAGAACAGGAAGTAATCATCAGAGAGCAGATGTTTAAATTGAGATGTCAAAAATGATAGTAAGTATTTCTAGGATGTAAGAATATGAAGTGGGTTGACTGAGGTAGGATAAAGGAAGAGATCAAGAGAACTTTATGCAGGGAGTGGTGGGTGGAAATCATGATATCCAAATTAGGAGTAATCATTCCAAGGAATACATAAGACAATCTACTGGGATATAAAAGAAATCGTTAGATTTTATTTTCACAGCATCCTTCTGAATTTTTTATGTGTGTTTACTATTACTATATTGCTAAGTGGTACATATATATATATTAAAGTAGAAATATTTTTAAATGCTCATTTGATTTCCAGAAGATATGACCATATTCCGTTAGAAAATTCACTTTTTCTACATGACAATTCAAATTATTTTCTTTCCAGCAGCCAAGAAATCTCAAAGATAAGTAGCAGTTACAGCTCTTTTAGATTGGTCACGCAGTTTCTGGTCCTCACCAGAGACTCTCTGAAAAATGTATTATATATAACAGAAATAAATAAATTTAAATTTAAAAAAAGATAAAGTAATAGGGCAGGCACAGTGGTGTGCTGTAGTACCAACATTAAGAAGCTGGGGTGGGAGGATTACTTGAGCCGGTGTTCGAGTCTACCTGGGCAACAAAGCAAAACTCAATGTAAAAAAAAAAGATGAAGTGAAACCTGTTTTCAATAAAAATCTTTATAAGATCTATGTCATCCAATATAATTTTTATAAATAACACGAGTTGAACTATATGAAAGGGAGAAAAGAGTGGCACAGATGAGCACAGTTTTAATCATAGAAGTAGGCCAACCATCTCATTTTATGAATAAAAAACCAAAGCCAAAAACGCTAAAGTACCTGGTCCAGATTTAATATACATAGGCAAATTTAAAACAAAGTAATGTTGCTGATTTCTCATATCACAGTGAAATTAATTCTGCAAGTAAGTAACGTGCTAAAAGGTCACAAAATGTTATCCTGGAGAATGTTGATATAAATCAAAACATAATTCCAAAAACCTTTTATTTCAGATTAAAAGAATCTGGTGAAGAGCATATGATGTTAATTTTTTTCCAGTTTTTCTTAGGTAGGTAGCTCATTTCTGCTTCTAGATACGTTCAATGAGTAATATGCTACTTTTTAGGTTCATGTTTTATGTTTATACATTTATTATCACCAATTACTTTACTACAATCTAGCTACACAAAGACAAGGTCTTTCTTTTATTCAAGGCACACCCCCTATACCTAAATCAATGCCTGGCTTATAGTAAGTACTTAATAAATACGTTGTGGATTATTAATAAATCAAAAATACATTATATAATGTAAATTAGATCCTCTACCTTTAAAATCTCATTTTACCTGAAATTTTTTATAACATTAGAAATGTCCTTTCTGAACACATTTATCCATAATAATATATCTGTTTTCAATCAACCTATTTCTAAAAGTCCCTGATTTGTTTTTAGTTTTCAGTTCAAGTAAAATTTCAGATTACCATTTTGTCACAAATATCAATTAAAAGCTCTGAAATGGCTGTTTTGACAAGACTCACATCTGTTCCACATTTTCATTTTCCACACACTTTACCAGCCATAATTCTAGTTACAAACACATGCAGTTTTATGTTTGTTTATAAAGAGTTGGAACAAATTAAATACTGTATTATTCCTAAAGCATGTTCTCACCTTCTAGGAAGGAAGGGAAAATACTGTCATTAATATATTATCTTCCTGATTACATCCATTTCTGCTGATTTCCCACCAAATGAAAGATTCTGATACACCTTACCCACTTATTCCAGTACCTGATGAGGTACACAGGATGTTATTATATGAGGACAAAGGTCAGGCATGGTGGCTTGACACATGTAATCC